AGTCCTTTCATAACTGTATGATTGTATCCCAGCGATTATTCGTCACCATCAAACATCGTATCAATGCAAGGAAAACATCTCAGATCCGGTGTAAGATTTAGTCTCGGGTTCGATCGAGATAACAGTGTCAATATATCACATCGGATTGGAACTCGTGACACGGGACTCTGTATATCATAATCCGATAAGTTTGCTGCCTGACTTGCTTCTTCATCTTCAAAAAACTCGTCTTCAACATAATCGTCGTCGTTTTCTACTGGACTAGGTTCATCATTTTCTGATAAATATCCGAATGAATCCGAGCTCGCTCCCTCATCTTCAAAGAGCTCGTTCTCGTCGTTTTCTACCAAGTTGGTCAAACTAGACAAATCTTCGGAATAATTTTCGATTAGTTCTTGAAAAGACTTCCTTGTCCAACAACTCCTTTTTGCCTTTGAACTCATCTGCGAATTTCAAACTGGTCTCTGCCGCTGTATTTTCAATAAGCTTCACATAAATTTTGTCCCGACTGTATTCATCAACCAGACAACTATCTGAGAGACCCAAAAAGCCACGAATATTTCGCTGTGAATCGTCAATTCGTGAGATATTACGGTTAAAATTTTCATAACACTTTTCAAGCTCTCATTAGATTCGTTGATGTGTTCAAAACATCGCTTGAAGCCGTCGGCTTTCTCGGAAACGGTGCGAAATATTTTTTGTAAATTACTCCTCAAATTATCAGCACAAAGAGTTCCTGCGAAATCGACAAAATCTTTGGACTTAAGTTTGAAATCAGAAGCTTCTCGGACCAAGGGCTTGTACTCCTTATCACTCTGAGCTAACTTTTCGTGAAGTGTTTTCTTGATTTCTGTCGCACGACTCTCGATACTTATAATTTCGTGTTTCTTAAAAGCATGGTCCTTGAAGCAAATATTACATATCAGCTTATCGCAACTTCGGCAAAAATCAGAACATGTCAGCAAATGGACCTTACAGACTACAACTTTCATCAACTTGTAGTCCAACACATTATGTTTTTGCCTCACATGAGATTGAATACAGACATCGCATGTCAAATTAACATCATTTGAGGAATTTTTTTCATAATCTTCAAGAGATATTTGACAAGTTTTACAAGAAAATCTAGACTTGAGATCCTCAACAACGATTGAACACACGGAACATGTCAACAACTTTGAAGTCACATCTTCAGCATCGCTTTGTTTTTTCTTGGCTTTGGATGACCTTAATGGTTCACATGACCTTTTACTCATTTGCAGAACTGAAAAATATAACACACTCAAGCTCAAAAACATCAAAAACTTTTAATAATATTTATTGCTAGACAATTCGCTGTAATAAAAGACAGAAAACAACAAGAATGGCCGGTTGCTGCGCAATTAGCGTAAAATTTTTTCCATCAAAATTATTTAAAAACAAGGATATACGGTTGATGTGTAAGTAGCACAGAATGTTCAGACCACATTCTTAGAAAATTAAATGCAAAGTTTTTTTCACGTCTTATAAACTAGCGTTGTTTTTGTGAGTGGCGTGTAAAAATATCTGAAGAAAGTCTAAAATTTAGGTATATTAGACAGTCACGGTAAAAAAGGCAAGTCGCCGGGCAATGGTTTTTGCCGAAAAATAACGAACAAAACAAGATTTTTATTCATTTTCTTTGAAGAAATTGTTTTTTAATTATACTTAAGTTCCATACTGATCCTTCTAAAACAAGCCTGTTAGCTTGCTCCCTTCGCTCGAAATTTGAATAAAAAACTAAAAATCAAACCCGTTTTTCTCGATACTGAGAAACTTTTCAATATGGTTCGAATCAGGATTGAAAGGGCTTTAATATTTTATATCACTCGACCCATTCCAATAATTATTTGTAGTATAATTTTTTGTTTGAAATACAAAAAAATTCAATAATTATTTGTGGCACCAGATTTTGTAAGAAAAAAACTAAGACACACCCGAAAACAAAGTTTAATGTTTATAAATTTTTTTCATTCCCAATGGCGCAAAATTAACATTACTCGAAACAAACTAAATTCCACGGTTCAAAGTAAGCATAAATAAGCTACTTTGAGAATGAAAGGTCTTTGATATGATATATTATTCGAAAATTTCAGATCAGTATTTGTGGTAGTTGATTTTGCGTGTAAAAAAAGGAAAAAGTAAAATACACCAGAATGCAAAGTTCCTCCTTATTTTTAATGGTCGAAAGAGCTACAAAAAAAAGATTTTTTTCTTCATTTTTGTGCCGTATTTTTGTCCTTTTGTGCCGTTTTTTGGTGACAAAACTACACAAATGCGTAGCAAGTCAGCCAATTGGGCTTACTTGCGAATAGTAAGCTTCAAAAAACGAATAACAAGTACAAAAAGTTTGTAGAAAAATATCTGAAAAAAGTTTTTTTTTGTCACAATAACTTCAATTTTTAAGAGTCAATTTGTAGCGGCAAGCTTTACTCTGAGGCAAAACTTACAAATATGACTGATAACGCTACTGGGGAAAAACTGAAAGAGTAAAACTTGGAGTCTATAAAATTTCATAAGTGACGCACGCCAATTATGAGTCTACATAATTGCTAAGTGACGGAAGCCAAATAGCAGTACCAGTCACTTTGAAAAAAAAATAGACTTACCAACTAACATGCCTCAATTTGTAGAGCGGAAGCATTTAAATTAGTATACAAAAGCTCATTAAAAACATCTGACCCTGCCCAGGTTCGAACCCTCTTATTTTGCTCTGCTGCTCACCCTCCCTACCTCTACGCTACAGATCCATGATACCTTGAATCTAAAAAGCTATTTGTAAAATAATAGTCTGAGTTAATATCCTTAGCATTGGCTGTACTTAATAGCTGGATTAAAATGAACACTTTCAAAATGACACATTTTGTCGCAACAATTGCATCGCAACAATATTTGCGACTTGGACAAAAAGAAAGCTCATTTTATAACACAAGCTATGCTGTGTAAAAAGAAACTGTCCAACACAAAGTTTCTAAGCCTAAATGATCCATTGTTATATAACGAACGCTTCTCAATGATGTTACTCGCTCGAAATTAGACTATATATCAGAAATATTAACCCAGTTTTTCTCGACACTGGGACAACTTTATGAAAAGTTTTGATGCCGCTCGAATCACAAAAGAAGGGCTTAAATATGATAAAACAATCGACCCAAGCCAATGATTATTTGTTGTAACTGTGAGTAAAACAGAATTTTGTGAGTAAAACAGAAAGAAAAAAATTGAACACAGGCGAGAAGAAATCAAGGTCAACCGAGATTCAGCAATAATTTACAGACATCGCAACTCAGCAAGAATTGCCGAGAGCTGGAGAAAAACATGCCGCTTGCATCGCAATATCCAAATTAAGTAAATCGATAGAAAATGAAAACAATCATTTTTTTTGTTCAACTGTACTGAAGTTCTCCATACAATAACAAATCTGAAAGCTAAACAAATCTTAGAGCTACGAATACCTCGGGACTGACATAGTTAGCAACAGGATAAAGATAAAAAACGTCTACATCATTTTTCGGGGTAACCCCCAATGGGCTTGTTTTTAAGGTTGAAATAAATAAAATCAATCATTAAATCAAGCATAAAATCAATCATGGTAACAAAACACAAATATCGCACAAAAAGCCGAATTAGTTAAATATGTGTCCTGCTGTTCCAAAACTCTGCAGTCTCAACAAAATTGTTTCTGCCGAGTCAATTTGATGAGTGACTTCGCAAGGCGTCCAGCTAACGAACATCTATTGAATTAAACAAACGGTTGGAAGATTAATAAAACAGTAACTGAAATCAATCAAATAACGCTGCTTACACATTCGATGGGATATACATTTAACGAGTGTTCTCGTTGCTCAAAATCGTTTACACTAGAAAGTCACTTCCGTCTAACTTAGTTCTAAGCATTTCGATGGCAGTTACAGATTACGAGTAGGCACAACTATTACTTTAACTCAGTTTATCTCAACGGAGCAACGGAAACTTAGGCCAGCGAAAATTACGCGCATGCTGAAGTTGTTTTGGGTGAAGTTGTTTTTACAATTGCGGATGTCGCCTGAAAAAAAATCGACAACAGCCTCTGATAGGCTGCCTTCCTTTTATTTAATTTACAGGAGATTATTTTGTCTCCTCGTATGTTTATTCGTTTTTCAATCGCCTTCTTCTGATTAGAAAAGCCATATATATGGAAGTGCGCGTACTTTACGCCAGCACACAAAACGGTGTCTCAAATATTGGTAGAGAACTATCACCCCATCTCTTTGCTGCCAAACTTGTCTCTTGTTAGAAATAAATTTCTCTTTGATCACATTTATTCAGTTATAAAGGACAAAATCAACGCAGGTCAACATTGTTCTCGCAGGGAATACTCAACAGTGATTGAAATGCTAGTCTTTTGGAATGGAATTTTTGAAAGTACACACTGTAATGAAGAGGTTTTCTTTCTATAGCCCATGCTGGGCAGGTTCTGCTCGTCTTACTTCAGGCTGAGGAACTTCGCTACTTCTAACGGCCTTATCCACAGGTCTGCGGGAGTAAAAGGGCAGGGATTTCTGGAGCAGCTACAATTATGGTAACTCTTTTGGGGTGACAACTTACAGTTAGGGCAAAGTGGCGAAACTTGGTTGTCTAAGCGGGCGAGTTAAGTGTTTACAATAAGTGCAATGAAAAGATCGCAGTTGTTTTTTCAGCTTAACTTTCACGCATTGGACTGTTCACTTCTTGAAGTTCGTCAATTTTGGATTTGACGAAGACCTCCCATCAACCTTTTGTGTTCTTACCAAAAAATCGTTCGCAGAATGTTTATTTTGATGGAAAACTTTCTGACTCTTTACCTGTTACGAGCGAGTGGCGTAACCGGGAGTGCTTTAGGGGTCTAGGGTTTTTCAGAAACAAAAGGCGCATTTGCCTTGCGGCCGCTTCTGATCAATAAAATTTTAGTCAACCCATGATTACTACCGAAGACTCAGAAAAAATCAGAAGGACATTCGAAGTAACGTAATTCGGTACTAGAATTGTTTAGACATATGTTAGTATGTTTAATTACAATACATTTATTTACATTTACAACTCAATAAAAGAAAAATACTAGAATTTTTACGGAGCAAATTGAGCTGGTAATAATTTTTACAATAATTAGGTATACAAGGCAAACGATGGAATGCTTTCACGGCCTTCAAGATTTTGGCTGGTAAAATTTGACGCCAAATTTTATAACCTTATTTAATGAACATTTAAGCAGTAATGACAAATTGATATGCAATATAATATGATAATTCAACAATTGAAGAAAATTTTTCAAACAAAAAGGCGGCGAATTTGTAAAATTTGAAAACGAATGTTTACCATCCTCATTCATTAATATATTTTTCCAAATTAGTGCTTAACACTCGAACTTTAAAAGACTGGCAATAAATTTTTGAAGCGTGACTATATTTGAAGCTTTTTCAAAATCACGAAGTTGGTAGGAGATGATAAGCGACACTAAGTTAGAGGTTTAAAAAATGCGGGGGGTTATATACGACAGATGGACCGAAAGCGCCAAAATTCTTAACCAATCAGCGTCCTCTAAACTGTCCAAAAACAACTCAATTTTCAAGCAAATTTCGTTGTGATTTTCGAATACTGAAACATGATTGGCTGATATAATTTTCGCTTAATCGGTCCTTGTAACATGAGAGCTTCAACAAATTTTGAAGTAATTAAAGGATATCTGCTTCAACGAATTCGTCAATTTGAGCACTTTCCATGAAATCGAAGAACTTTTCCATGGGGGATGGAGGCCTGGGATATGAGAACTCAACAGCGATCGCTTCCTCTAGACCAAACATTTCACCCTGACCCGACAACGGAGGCCACTCGTGCCTTGGCCCGAGATCACCGAAGCCACTATTTCTCCAGCTGATGCAGTCCAGGGGCTCCACACCGGCCTGATTCTCCTGGGATAAAATTCGAGCAATCAGCCCACCATTTGGCGCTGAAATAAAACATGAATCAATTGGCCTATTGGTCGGAATTTCGTAACTCCAGAACTTTGTGATGGTTCGACTGAATTTGATTTTTTTTGAACTCCGTTAAATTGAGATGCAAAAATATTCAGACGGTCATTTCAAGCTATATAGTTTTTCCGAAGGTCGGAATTTCGTAACTCCAGAACTTTGTGATGGTTCGACTGAATTTGATTTTTTTTGAACTCCGTTAAATTGAGATGCAAAAATATTCAGACAGTCATTTCAAGCTATATAGTTTTTCCGAAGATGCGTTGAATAAATGAGGAAAAACGGAAGATCTTTAGTTAGTTGAGGTGATAAGTGAATGATAGTTCATAGAATATCATAACTCTTGATTTATCTAAGGTTACGAGCTTTATCGATGTTCAAGAAGACAATAGTTTCAACCAATCAAATTCGAGAATTATGATGCAATTTCAAAATAACAACCCGACGTTTTGATGGACTTCATACACTGAATTCTTAATGAACATCCATGAGAATTGCAAACTTGAAAAAAATTGTCAGTCATTCTATGCTTATTGAGTCGATAAGCATGGTATTTTTTTCACAGCATCAAAACCAGCATTCAAAGTACGATATCCTTCGCTAAAGCATTTCAAAGTATCATATGAAGCTTCTTCAAAGAACCTTTTGAGAATAAAAGAGAATGAAATGATAGGAGAGCGAGATATTTAACAACGAAGAAACCTTAATTACATTTCTAGCGATAGAAACATTCGATAGAATAGCATGACTACAATTATATCAATAATATGAACCCCGGGAAAGTAGAAGAGGCAAATTAGACGATCATTAAAACATGAATTAAAAAATGAACTGAGCGAACTAAATTTCTTGTTCAGAAAAAATCAATACAAAAACAAAAATAGTTTATTAGGACAGAACTGATTAAAATTCTAATAAAAAATTTCGCTAAAAAATTTATTTGAAAAAATGTAGTACTTTTCTGAAATACATATATTATACAACTGTGACATTCATAACTTGGTTTCCGGTTCGACAACCAAAGTTTACTCAGCCAAAAAATAATTCGAGCGAGTAAACATTTTTTATACAATTCGCACACAAGTTATTGTCTAAACCAATTTCCGATGGATGCAAGCCCGTGCTTCTCGACCAAGAGTTAACTGTCCCAACTACTTTACTATGTCAAATAAACGAAACGAATAACGAAAAGACTGCTCGAATACGTCCAAAGCCCTGAATGTTCCCACTATCTTTTAAAGTCTATGAAGCAGTGTTCGCTTTAAGAAAACTAGCGAACTTTTCGAGAAAAAAATCAAAATTTTTGAGTTTTTTTAAATCATCCCCCGACACGCCATATAAAGTACAAAGTGATAGATCTCGCACATATTAACGTAGAAACTATGACAAATAGCCTGTTTCAAGCACTTGGGAACGATTTCTATGAGGGATTAAATCTCCGCTTGCGCATTAATATTGCGAAATACATAACGAAATTTTAAGATTGAAAGAAACAGCTGCAGAAAGCATGAAAACCCGAACAATTAAAACTACCGAACATCAAAAAAATCTGTCTTTCGATAAGCTGCAATTTGCAGACAGAAGTCAAACAGAGTCAAAAACGAGCTACAAAACGTCCAAAAGAAACGCAAAACCCTTTTCAAAACGAATTTGCGTTTCGCATACACAAGCAGAAATATGACCGATAACGCTACTGGGAAAAACTGAGTGAGTAAATTTTGAGTCTGCCCAGGTTCGAAACCGCTTTCTTTTGCGTGTCTCCATCCCTACCTCTACGCTACAGATCCATGATACCTTGAAGCTAAAATGCTATTTGTAATATAAGTCTGTGTTAATATCCTTGGAATTTGCTGTATTTAATAGCTGGTTTTTGATCAAATTGAACCCTTTCAAAAAGAACAGTGATATTTGCTACTTAGGTTGGAAAACAAGAGAGTTCATACTATCACACAAGCTTTGCTTCTGTAATAATCAGAACGGAGCTTTCGCAGAACGAACCTGGTGCAAAACAGCTCTGTCATCGTTTGCTTATGGTTGTTATCACAACATGGCTCAATTATATTTATATTTAGGATTTTCTTAACGTTTTCGCGATAAGTAGCCTTAAATAATTGGCATTGAAATTGTTATACCCATTGTGCTGAGTAACAACAATTCTCGTATCAGGGCGAAACTCTCACCGACTGCCATTCATTTGCTGCAGTTTGTCGTAAAATATATTAATATATTTTTTAAATAACTTAAATGAATTAGCTTGCCTCAATTCAATTCGGAAGTACTTTTATCGACTCTTATTTAAAAAGTATTGAAAAATCCCAGAGGAAATAGTTAGGTTATTTAGTCTGAAAAAAATGGTCTGAAATTTCAGACCAGTTTTTCTCAAAAAAACTTTTTTAAAATCCGAATTACCATTGAAATTGATTTAATACGATGCCTTACTTAACCCTCTAAGATTTTTCTTTGAGACAATCAAAAATTGACTGGAAACTATAGAACATCCGTTCTTTCTTCTGCGTATGGATCTCAAAAGACCTAAAAACAATAGTCGCCATCAAATTTCAGATTGATGGCGACGCCACAATAGCGTTTTCTGACATCCTATTAATAGATAAGAAGATGTCATCAGATCATGTATTGTCATTAAGTCAAAAGCAAATAGCTTAAAACAAAGTCAAGACTCAGAAAATTGCCCTGAACCATCGTTTTTCTGACTTAAGTTTCAAGAGAAAAAAATCTAAATAATCAGTTGACTTGTCTTGATCTCGCTATTTGAAATTAATAACCTTGTTCGGCTTGAAATTTAAATTGATTGTTCAATTTAGGCAGAAAACTTAAAGAAATTGGAAAAATTTCAGTCGTGATTCGGTTGTTTAAAAAATCCCAGAAAAATTCTCAATTCTGGTCTGAAAATTAACGTTTTTCAGACTAAATGACTCGAAATTTACAAAAGTTACCAAATAATTTATTTAATATTTTAATTTAACTATTACTTAATTATTTTAAAGCAATCATTATGAATTTTTGTATAAAACATATATCATATCTCACCTTCAGACAACTCCAGAGGAAGAGGTCCCTGGCCTGCGAAGGGGTAGACTTCACTTGCAAACAGCCACAGAAGACAATCTGCGGTCACATTTCTGTTGTTGAGTAAATTCAGAAACCTACAATAGGGCGAATCTCTTTCCTGTCTGTGACCATCGCCTCGGCTCTGTTCCATTTCGAGCAAAACTGCGTCTACTTCCAGCCGAAGGTTTTGGTCGAAGCTCGGATGATTGGCCGCGAAGCGTTGAAATGCATGCAAAAGCTGCTCTCGCCCTCTTGCGTATCGCACTTGATCGCCTTTGTTAGCGATAACCGTCATTTCTTTATCTGAAAAAAAAACATAAATCAACGTGGCGTTACATTTCATTCACAGCTAAACAAAACACCTGACTTAATCACAGTTTATGTAAGCAATTAGTACAACTTTGACAACTTCACTCAAAATTTGCATTATTGAAGCTAATTTCGCATAACTGAACTCCGCATGTGCTTCATTATTCTTGCGTGACTTTGTTAACTGATTTGAAAAGTCAACAACAATTTGAACAGTACATCGGATTCCTTTAATAATTTTGTTTCTGAAAAAAAATCGGCGGACTGCTGACAAAAACAGAGGGCAGAAGACTAACTTCCTCGTATTCGATTAAATGAATGCTCAAACCTCAACCAATTACGCGCCCAAATTATGACCATTCGAGCCGCCATTCGCTTACATAATTAGCGGTTTGAATGAAGACATAAAATCTAGCCGGTATTTTACTTCAAATAAATTGAAATAACTGACTTAAATCAGTTAAAAAGTAACACATATTTTTTAGTTTGACATTCGGATTCGGTTCATGAATGTTCGAGAAATTCGATTAATTGGATGTTCGAGAAAGTAAAAAAAGACATGAAATCCGTTTAAAATATGAAATATATCAAAGCTAAATAAACTTGAAAACAGACTCTTGATCTTCAGGCGAAGCGGAGCTTTCAAAAACTTCCGATACAACACAAACAAAGCATGGTAAGCTAGCCGACAGAAAAGTAAGACAAAAGCAACTAAGCCGAAGACATCTATTGATAAATTATATCAAAAGCTGAGTCTATCGAATTTTTCTTAAGCCGCAAATGAGGAAAATATGGCGAGAAAGATAAATGTTAGCAAAAATGCTTATTGAAATAAATTTTAGGAATCGGTAACAAATTTGACAAAAGTTGCGTTGACACCCAACGAACTGAAAAAATCAGTCAAACAAAATGTGAGTAAAAAATTCAAATTTGAGGCTTTTTAAGGTTCACACACAAATGAAAAATTATTCATCTCGTTTCAAACGGTAACAATTTGAGGCATTTAAGCCGAACGAAGGAGAAAAAACGTTCATGTAAGAAAAAACGAAATATCAAAATAAGACTACAAAAATTCAAAGCTGGTTTTCAACAAACAAACACGAAACTCGTAAATTCTGAAAGTTAAAATTAAAATGCAGACATGCTAAAAACATATGTGAAAGGACTGCGACTAATTCTTAAGCCTTTGTAAGAATTAATAGAAAAACGTCTTGTTGCCGATTACGCAACACTAGCTCCCGCAAAAAAAAAATAATATGAAAAGGAGAAATTTTTGATAATCCAAATTTCCTGGAAGTTTTTCTGAATATCAGAGGAATCCATAATGTAATTTCGGTAAAATTTCTCAAATTACAGGAACATGTATAAAAAACACAAAAATTCTTTATAACAAAACTTTTGGAAGAAAAATTTTCAGAACACAGTCAAAAATCACAACTACTAGTATTAAATAAGCTTCTAATACTAATTGAACGGCCACAAAGCCAAAAAGAAGAGGGTAGATACCCATTGAGCTAAAAAAAAATGCCATAAAAATTGTTGTCACCAAAAAATGAAGTATTGAAATTTTGCAACACGAACTATCTGACTTAGCCGATAAAACATCAACCGAAACTATTTAGGACAGCTTTGAGCGAAAAAAAATAAACAGTAAAACCAAGGAACATATACAATGTCAGGGCTCTTATTTTTACATAAAAATTCTTCAATCTATGGTGGATATTGCAAGACAATCTTCTGATGTGACACCTAAGCCCACAAAATATAAGCAGACAAATGAAACCCCAGTAGTTAATTTTCAATTTTTCAAGGTCCGGCCGGGACTTGAGCCACAAATCCTAGGGTCCAAAATCGACCGCGTTAGCTCGAGGCCAAGTGGAAAGCAACCCGGAAGTTGCTTGGGTTCATTAATAAGCAATGCTCTTCGCGCTCCCCTGTTGCAGTTTCAGATTTCAGACAGTTATTTCCACTTTCAGTCGCAAGTGTAAATAACATGGAGCAAAAGCAAAAACCAATAACAAAACCTAAAATGCTGAGATGATAGACTTCACTTATTTCTAAATTTCTGACCATTTTAGAGACATAATTTGGAAACTTGAAAAAAAAACAATTATTTTATTCATATATCTCAGCTTTGTTTTATACAAATATCAAGTAACAAGAAGCTGTTTTAAAACCAACAAAAATACATACAAAAAACACACTTACAATCCTCAACCTGTTATTTTAAGGTCTAAATCTCAAAGTTTAGTAGCGTTATAATTTTCTATCTACTTTTGCAAAACCGATACAGAGACATATTTGGAGGGAGCCATACCAAAAGGAAAAATCAAACTGCAAATGTAAGAAAGGGTTATCGGTTAAGAGTCTCTACAACCTTTTCGATTTGAAACCGTCTGATATGTTATGACTTATAAAATATTTTTTAAAAAATTGAGGCTATTGTTTTAATGACCTGTGTTGTTTTAATGACCTGTGCCTAAGACACTGACCGCAATCGAACAAAAAAAAATTACGAGCTCAAATGCTTCGGCTAATTAATGTCTAAGCCCACTCCAAACCTGACTAACTTGAAAACAGTTTATCGCGGTTTCAGCAATCAAAAAATTCCAAACACAGAGATGAAGCTGCACTTCTCAAATACAAACCAGAAAAAGCTAAAATAAGGACCCAAAACGAAAATGAAATAAGGAAAGAAACTGTTAACTTGCGCCTTGGGAAAAAGCTTTGCTATATCCCGGTATTGAACCGCCGATCGATAGATACGTATATTCACGTCCTCGTATCTGCGTCACATTGTCTTGACAATTGGCAAACACTAGTTAACAAATTAAAGTCAACACAAGCCTTGAAAACCGTCAACTTGTAGATTAGACGTTTCACGTCCTCGCATCTACGCCATGGTCGCTTGCGCATAGACCAACACTAGCAACCAAGGAAGCAGAGAACAGAGATTATTATATTCCCAAGGCTATAGACAAAAAATGCAGCAGGAAAAAAATCGTTAAATAACATCACACCGGCTAGTCTGCTTGTAAACACTCAAAACGGTTCTTTACTAAAAGGGATCATGAAAGCATTCGAAAAATTGACCAAATTGTTCCAAATATTTGACCACCTTTTTTTTCTGTTTTTAAAGAGAAGAAAAACTATAATTTGACGATTACAGTCACTTGACAAAAAAATTGAACAGAATAACTAAAAAAAAACGGTTGAATAACCAAAATGTAAACAACAACGAACTTAAGTGAATCGATAATGTGTCAAATGGCCTTTCATTTTTTGAAATTCGCAATTCTTCTTTTTGGAAGGCAATTCACTAGGTTTTCTAATGGAAACTCCAAAAAAAGTGGCGGGAGCAAATCGGATTATTATTTACTGGAGCCAACAGAAAAACCAATTTGCAAAATTTATTTGCCAAATATTCGCAAAAAAATTTAAATCCAGCGATTGTCAGGCCAAATATGTATCGATAAGCAAACTCATTTAAATCTGCATGAATAGTCAAAAAAAGAATCAATCTCCGCTGCAAAAAATTTGAAGCAACTGCTACATCTTTGGAATTTTTTGCAAACTATTTTTTTACTCTCGGGCGCCATTGAAATCTTATCACAATTCCACAACCATCAACAACAAACTGACTGACTCATTTCGGTGTTCGGTGTACTGAAACAGAAAGGAAAATGTGAGAATTGAATTGAAAAATGATAGAAAATTTTGAAAAAATGACCACAACAAAAGTTCTGAAACCAATTAATAAGACACATTTCTGAAAATAAACTATATGCAGGATCAGGGGCGGATGTGGATTTTCTCGAGGATGGGAGGGGGGGATTCTCAAAAAATTTTATCTACCTTTTTTTGAGCTCGATCAAATTGATTTTCCGAACACTCCCAGAACATTATAAAGACGCTATTTTGACCAAAAATTCTCCGACACAGGTCAATTTTTGAAAAAACAGGTAGTAGCCATTTTTGGGCATTTTTTTAACAAAAATTTTACCTAAAAATTGCATTTTTTCGGCGCGCGCTCCCCTTCTTCCTTTGGATGGCCCCGAAGTCGCCTTCATAAAAATTATAGGGTTGGTGGTCGACAAGTGGATGTCATAAAATAATACCAAAGGGGGACCCTTTGGTTGGTCAGGGGGTAGAATCCCTGAGGGGGAGGCGTCCGCCCCCCCCCCTAAATCCGCCCCTGTCGAAGAGTTTCATATTTCTCGTCTTAGGCTTTTAAAACCTTTGCAGTTATAGAAAGAAGCATTTAATTTAAATGCAATTTTAGAAAAATTAAGACTGCCTCTAATTTCACACATTTTCCCAGAGAACTTTTCCATTTATTCGCCAATTCTAAGAGATTGCCGGTTGATTTCTTTCGCTGTCCTGACTGAAAAAACGCACCAAACACTTGGCCAGCCAATATTTGCTTTTAACATCTGGTTATTCAGATGTAACAGCAGAATGTGCAAGCCGATCGAGAGTTCAAACATGACTCAAAACTCAAATATACAAAAAATACCCTCAACACTATTAAACATGGCGTGATTGGAAAGTCGCGAATTCCTACTTAATCAGTGAAAGTTAAAAAATCACATGATTAGTCACAGCTATCAAATGGTAGCAAACAGCAGTTATCTTAGAAGTCTCTGATAACCATTGTCATACCATTTCTAATTCATTTAGCAATTCATTTTGATGAAAGAGCCGTCCGAAATTAACTGACTATTTGTAAAACAATAACTATTCTATCTTTTTCATTTGAGGCGCAAAATTTCATTATAGCTATACTAAAAATCAGTAGAAGAATGCGCCCCATTGTTACACAGAACAAAAACAAAAATTTTATCAAAATTCATAAAAAAAGAAATTGTAGACAATAATATTTTATGTTATCAAAGAGCTTTACATTCGATTCAGTTGATTGATGTTTAAGCTACATTGCGGCAAGATTTTCCAAAAGGGAGCCAAAGAAACCAAATTAAAAACATATGTTAA